TAAACCCCTCCCCTCTTCAGGGCAACTTCACTTTGAGCAGTTTTGATTATGGGGTGTGAAGAGAGAGACTGCAGCCGGAACAATGTCCTCAAAAGTCTGCAAGCCACCGGGCTACACGGTTTCCAAGGTCCCTCTGAACTGGGATGATGGGATTTTATGAACTTGGGCCAGAGACTTAGAAGCTGAAGTCACACCCCAAAAATGTGTGTAAGTGTTGCGGATGTTTTGCAGGCAGACAGCCCCGAAGACATGCGCAGCTGGATCCAGGAGATTGGGGCAGCTGTGCAGGCCCTCAAGTGCCACCCCAGAGTAAGTCACTTCCTTTCTGGGCCCCAGTGTCCGCTTCAAGATAAATTAGCTTTGAATGGGCATGTTTTATTTGGTTATGTAGGCAGGCAGCCCAGCCATGAATGCAGCTGAGCCATAGGCTGGCTCACTTGTTTTTCTCTTTCAGTTAACTTGGGGACATTCCCCTGCCCCCATTTTGGTTTGTTGGTGGACATGAGGCTGGGCTGGACAGAGAGATGGAGTTTCTAATGTGTCCTGCAAGTCCAGTGTCAAGCAGATCTCCAAACATATGTAGTGAATTCTGCTTAGTGTTTGTATTTACTTATGTACTTATTTATTTTTGAAATGCGTTTATATTATTTTTGGATTTGCTGTGTGGCCCAGACTAGCGCTGAGCTTCATGGCCACCCTCCCGCCTTAGCCTCCTGGGGAGCAGGGACTGCAGGTACCCCTGACTGATACACTTACTTGGGTTGTGTAGCCAAGTGTCCCTGTTTGAGGTGGTGACCCTGGGTGGGTACTTTTCTTGAGACTTTGGGATAAACACTGTGAGGAAAATTCTTATGTGGTCTTTTCCTTCTCTTTCTGCTTCCAGGAACCATCCTTTTCTAGATCCGTTTCTTTGACTCGACCTGGAAGCTCAAGCCTGGCAAGCGGGCCTAACTTCATCTTGCGGAGGAGACCGGCAGTGGAAGAGAAAAGGGCTCTCTGTAAGGCCCCTTCTGTGGCCTCCTCCTGGCAACCCTGGACACCTGTCCCCCAGGCTGGGGAAAAGCCACTGTCAGCTGAGAATGCTCCGGAGGACTCTTTATTCCTGCCTCACCCTGGGGAGAGCAATGCTACCGGGGTACTGGCGAGTTCGCGGGTCAGGCACAGGTCGGAGCCCCAGCACCCCAAGGAGAAGCCATTTGTGTTCAACCTCGATGATGAAAACATACGGACCTCTGATGTGTGATATGCAGTGCCCTGGTGTGCCGGAGAGACGGCTCTGTGACTCAGTTTCTCTGCCGCGGTGGAGGACAGAGGCTAATGGCACTCACAGTGGAGGGACCCATCCAGCTGGCTTTTGTTTTTGTTATTATTTAATTGGGGGAAATCGCTAGGGTAGACCCACAGGCACACTCCATTGCCTCTTGAACGCCCCTCTTTCCCCAGGTTTCATAGCGAGGGGTTAGTTTTAACTGTTAAAACTGGGGCAGGGGGTTCAAGTCTAGTTTCACCTCTAACCGAGTACCCTCCCCGCCATTTGTATTTCTCTTATTTTCTTGGTTTTGTTTCCAGTTTATATACAGGATATCAGGCTAAGAGCTGGTTTCACCTACCCCTGTTTATTGGCTGAAGCGTGGGAATCAGGCAAAGGGTTACCATCAGGACTGAAAGGCCTCAGGTGTGGGAGACTCAGGTTGCAGCATGATTGGGCTTCACCTGAGAGGTGGCCGTAGAATCTGGGGAGTGAAGGGCAAACTTCAGAATGTCTTCCCGGGCAGTTCCCTCAGGACGCCTCCCAGGGGAGGAGAGGGGACCTCTTGTGAGTCATGAGGGCTAATTAAACTGTCATAGCCACTTGTGGGAATTACGCTGTCCTCTTGCTCCCCTGTGACCCCCAGTGCTCTCGACGTGGGTGACAGAGCTGCAGGTCTGTTTTCTGTGTCCGGCCCCGAGGATGGCGAGGATGGCGTTATCAGTGTTAAAACGTCAGGACCCTGGAGATCAGAATGGACGTTTCCCTTGAAAGCATGTTATTTGAGTATATGTGTGATGGTTAAGTGTAGAATGATTTCGTGTGTGTGTGTGTGTGTGTGTGTGTGTGTGTGTTCAATCTCTATCTCAGAGCCTTAAGGTGAAGCAGCTCCCGAGAGGAGTTGGATGATTGTTTATGTCAGGCACCATCTACGAGTCATGCTTCCCAGACAGGAGAATGGTTCTGCTTTGGCACAGCCGGTCTTGAACCCCTGTCTCTGAGCTCTTTAAGAAAGGGTCGGCATTTGCCTAACATTAAGTGCTTGTATATTGTGCATCCTGCTGATGGATTTGCTTTTTAGACTTTAAGTTGCCCGGTAAATGAAGCCATGCATATAGTAGGTGGAACCCTAGCATCTGATAAGATCCTATACACTCCCCAGTGGAGAGACAACAAAGATTTTTTTTCTAATGGTTATATTTTTCATGGACTAGAAACTGGGAATAAAGAAGCTGAATCAAAGGAAAAATTATTGGCTAGGGATTTCCTAGGTTCTAGAAGAATTCAAAAGATTGGATTTCCACCCGAAATCTAGGGTGTGGCTTTTCCATTTGGCAATATACTATTTTCATTGCCTTTGGGGGCATTTGTCTATCAACCTTGAGTAAACTGTGCTACCAGAGACTTATGGCTCTCCCTACAAGGAGAGAGGATGTGGCTCATTCCTATCTGTGTAACTTTTACCAGCTAGATAAGTTAGTTGTGTGTTTTAGTTAGAAACTTGTAGCTCAAAGAAGAGACTTGGAGACATTTTTATTATTATTATTATTTAAGCCAATCACCACTCTTGTGTCTATAGTTAATGCAAAAGAAAAACAGGCACAAATCTCTGTGTGAGAGGAAGTGTGTAAGTGTGAGAAAAGTGTGTTCTTTCAAATGTGGCTAAAACCCTGAAGCTGGTGCCACACTGAAGACTCCCGAGCTCAACGTGTGGGAGCTGTCCCCCACTTTTAAGTTTGGCCTTGTGTTCCTGGTCTAAAAAACAAAACCCACTGGATCTCCTTCTCTTTTTCTGTTCTCCATCTCTTTCTCCCTCCCCCTTTATTATTGTTTTTTAAAAAGAATTTTTGTGTATTTTGCTTTTCATAAACTCTTGGTTTGGGAATTATTTATTTATGAGTGACCAAGGTTACAGCTTACTTCAAAAGTCAAATTCTAAAAGCCCTTTGTCTCTCTGGTTTCAACTTAAAATCTTTCTCTAGAAAATTCTTTGGCTGCTCAACAGAATTGCTCAATGTGAGATGAGGAAGTAATGAAAATAAGTCAGGAGCTTGGGAGTGAGCTTTACACATCCCCTGACTCATGGGGATGATGTCATCTTCTGGTGTTTAAATTGCAAAATCTGTCTGTCTCTCTCCAACACACCGTTAGCTAGGCTATTACTGCCGCATTAGCTGGTCATTATAGAAAACTGATAGTCTCATTAAGTATTTCGAGATTGTCGTTAGGTTAAACCCAGTGCAGTTTACATTATATAAATAAAGGGAAAGTACAGAGTTTCAATGACTCTACCTGGCCAATGCACGAGAATTCCGAGTTAGATCATTGTTAATATAGTTTCAGTGTTGGGAAAGCATAATCATCTTTGTGAAGTCCAGAAACATTCAAATTTTCAATTCTTATTTCAGAATTCCCTTTCTGTCTGGATTTCTGACCAGTTGTATACTAATCTCCCCGTTTAAAATCCATTTGCTTTTGCTGGAGTCTTGCTACGTAATTCAGGCCAGTTTTGAACTGGTAATCCTCCTGCCTCTGCCTCCCGAGTTCTTGGATTACAAGCATGTACCACCATCTCCGGCCTATCACGGTATTTTATTGTGAGTCAAAGATCAGTGCATGAACCTTAGGTGTTCGATGTATAAACTAGAACCCTGGGGGCAGGGGAAAATAGAGTGTGATACAGTGTGGATTCGTGGTTAAACGTACGCTGTGGATAAATCAGAAGGGATTTCTGAATTACAAAAAGTACTGCTTTTTAAATGTATTTGTATTTTTTTTTTTTTTTTTTTTTTTGTGGAATAAAAGCAGTCTCTGAGGTCGGGTTCTTCTACAAGGCTCCTAAGGCAGCATTCTTGGCAATTAAAGAGCTCACCATCCATTAGCCTTTGAAAAATTTGATGGACTTGACTTGCTTACCAAGGTCAGGTGAGAATTAGCAAAAATACTGTGCCTTTCTCATTTTGTGAATTCTGATGAGGGTATGGAAGACCACGGCCTAGAGAGGGACCTCAGGTCAAAGCAGTGGAATGCCTCTTCTCCAGGTACAATGCTGAGCTCCTGGGGAAAGATCTAAGGCCCAGCATCTTAAATGACTCTCCGAATAAATAGCAGATCAGCCGTTGAACAGGGGATTTGCCATTTTCAGTATTAACCAAATAAACAGCCATCTGGTAGCCAATGGCAGCATTTTGGAAATTAGGTTTCCCCTGTCACTTCTAACTTGGATTTTTTTTTTCCTCTCTAAAATTTGTTTTTCTCAGTGCCCCCCTTCCCTCCCTTCTCTCTGGGTGTTATTGCCTGCTGGAGCCAATTACAGTCAGTCATACTAGGTAGGCTTTGAATAAAGTGAATGTCTGGCAAAAACACACAGCGTGACCCCTTGGTCCTCTGTTTATGAAGGTGTGGCATGTCCCGTTTGAGCCGGTGTTGAGCTGTGAAACACACCTCCAAGGCACTGAGCTAAGTGCATGGAAACTCCAGCTTCTTATGTTGTGTGATTTCCTAATTGGTATGTAGCAAAACGTCATTTTCTAAAACTGTTTGGTTGCTTGTTTTTGTAATAAAAACATGTGAAATATTGAAATCTGGTCGGTTGTTTTCTTGGTCAGATCTCGTGGCCGTGGGTGGGTGGTCACGTTTGTCACTTGACCCATGACTAGAATTCCTCCCCCCATGGCTTATAGGTGGGTGGCTCTGGTTCTGGGGTGGCACGGGTGGTGGGTGATATATGGGTGTGTGTGCCCAGAAGTGAGCCAGACGCTGTCCTTTAAAAAGTCTGGAGGCTGGCAGAGGCGGCACCAAGGCCAGGAAAACGTGTTGCTTATTTTAGGCCAGTTGTGAATCCTGAGTGGAGTAACTGGAGAAGTGAAATCCAAGAGGGCAAGGAACAGGATGAGCTCCCAGGCGCTCTGGACTGTGTGGGCACAGTTTCTCCTGCTGTGGCTGCTGCTGCCTGTTCCTTGGGTGGAGGCCAGGAGGTCCAGAGTCTCGATGCCCTGTCCCGAGGTCTGCGATGTCACACGTTGCCCGCCACTGCCCACCTGCTCGACTGGCACCGCTCCCGTGCCCGACCGCTGCGGCTGCTGCCGTGTGTGCGCTGCGGGAGAGGGTCAGGAGTGTGGCGGGACCCGGGGCCGGCCGTGCATCTCGGGGCTGCGCTGCGGTGCCCCGTTCTCCCGGGAGCCTGCCGGGGGCGCATGGCTGGGCACCTGCGGCTGCGTGGAGGGCGTGGAGGGCGCGGAGGTGTGCGGCAGCGATGGGCGCACCTACCCTAGCTTGTGCGCGCTGCGTAAGGAGAACAGAGCGGCGCGACTACGGGGCTCGCCCCCGGCAGTGCCCGTGCAGAAAGGAGGCTGCGGGGACCCAGGTGAGAGAGGTGCGGGGCATACCCCCGCCCCCCCACTTATGAGTTTTCCTAAGAAGGTGAAGTGGATACTCTTGAGTTTGCTCGCTCGCTCGCTCGTGGGGTCTGCCCTCCTCCAGCTCCAGGGAGTCAACCTGTTGTGGCTATTTCTGCTGTTCTTGCCTGGATAATGTGGTCTCTACTGGTTTCCACCGGGATTTTTCTTTCTCCTTTTCTTTCCTTTGGTATGACAGGCTGGGTCCTTCCATGTGCTAGTCTAGAGAACCTGCGTAGGCAGGGGGACGGAGAGATGCTGAGGAATTTTGAGATGTGACATCTGCATTCAGGGAACAAACAATGCCTGCCCTCACCACGGACCACTTTTTCCCCAGGGACCAGGAGTGCAGGGCGGCTCAGGAGGAAGTTTAACTTTATCGCAGCGGTGGTGGAGAAAGTGGCGCCCTCTGTGGTTCACTTGCAGTTATTCCGCAGGTAAAGGTCACACGGAGGGTCAACTACCCCACCTGAAAGCTGTGCATTATCTGACCATTAAAAAATAAAAAAGCCTGCTGTGAGAAAACCCAGGTTCAAAGAGTCGGCTGGGGTATAGCTGGGCCGTGGAGCTCGTGCGAAGCAGGCACGGAAACCTCAGGTTCCCGCCCAGTACCCGAAGAAAAATTATTAAGAGTTATTTCGCTAAAGAGCAAAGGGCCAAGCATGAGGATTCTGGCTTCTAAATTCAAATTTCACCCGTGCACGTTGGTGGCTGGTGTTCCTTTTCCCCCCATACTCCACAAGCAAAGCTTAAGGTTGACTGTCGGAGCTAATCAGCTCCCTGTTTAGCCTAGCCAGCAAGGAAACCCAGATCGGCAGAAATTTAATTTGTTCTGTTTACGACGCCAGTTGACAGAGGAAACTAAGAGCTAGATGTTGACACTGTGACAGCGGTGTGAGCCGATACAGTGTTAGCGCCAGGTTTGGTCTCTTCTCAGCAGATAACCCACAGGTTGTCACTCTGGCTCGATGTGAAGGAGGAAGCAGTGTCTCAGGACCTGGTTCTGATTTGTCATCAGAAGAGATGGCCGGGACATCCTGTGGCTCAGGATGGAAATAGACAAGGAAAGGGATAATGCTTGAGAAAACTCCTGGGGCTCTGGTTGATAAATGCGATGTTTCCTGTGTCTAACAATGTCTGGATTCCCCAGTCCCTGCCCTTAGTTCCTCTATTGCCTTGTTCCGGTGCAGGTCACCTCTCACCAACCAGGAAATCCCTGCCTCCAGTGGCTCTGGGTTCATAGTGTCTGAGGATGGACTCATCATCACCAATGCTCACGTCCTCACCAACCATCAGAAGATCCAGGTAGAACTCCAGAGTGGGGCCCGCTATGAAGCCACGGTCAAAGACATCGACCATAAACTGGACCTCGCACTAATTAAGATTGAGCCAAAAGTGAGTAGTCAGGAGCTAAGTCGGAGTCTTCACCTTTGTGAATTTCACAGCTTATTTGCTGATATTTATTTTCTTGTAAGTTCGTTCACCATGTCTTTTCTCCGTATGTAGGGTACATGTGTCCCCACTTCCCCCACCCTTCCCTAAACCCTGGTGTCCCAGGCTTCTTCTTTTTAAGACAAAATCATGAGTAATGTAGAGATTAAAATCTAGAGCTCCAGCCTGGCAGTGGTGGCGCACACCTTTAATCCCAGCACTCAGCGGGGAGAGGCAGGTGGATCTCTGTGAGTTCGAGGCCAGCCTGGTCTACAAGAGCTAGTTCCAGGACAGGCTCCAAAGCTACAGAGAAATCCTGTCTCAAAAAACAGAAAACAAAACAAACAACAACAACAACAACAAAAAAAAAAAGAAAGGAAGGGACAACCTAGAGCTTCACTGAAACCTCACATTCCCTCAACGCCCCCTCCCTTACACTCCAGCCCCCTTCTCCCACCTGCTGTGTTTCCAATCCCTCCTCAGCAAATGAAGAACCTAATCCCCAAAGCTGCTGTGGTACAGACTCCAGGTTCTTTGGCCTACCTCCTTTGCTCCACCCCCATCCCTGGGCAGGGCAGGTGACTCAGTCTGGAGAACCCAGAGTGGGCACAGGGGTGGGAGGAAAGGGTCAGGAAAAGGGATGGCAGAGGAGAACAGAGTGAAGTGTGGACTCCTACCCCTGGGGTACCAACTGGACTGGGTACAGAGGAAACGACACAGCTCGCCCCCACTCCCCCACCTCCCCAGGAAAGGGACCCTGCAGCTTCACGCGCCTTCCTTTGGGAACAATGCTAGATTGTTTGCCCTTCTGGCATGGGCTACAGAGTCAGGCTGGACGGCATTCCCCTGCAGTCAAGGCTGCTCTTGCAAGGTAGATTTTCCAGCTGCAGTGGCAAACTCTCCAGGTTCAGGCTCAATTCTTGATATGCATTTCCTTTCTCACGTGGGCCTGTGTCCCTGCACCAGGGTCTCTGCCTCCCTCTTGAGGCTCTTATTTTTTTTTTATCAGTTTCCTCTGTCCACTCTGCAGCAGGGGCTGCAGCTCGCACCCCTCTGAGACTGAGTTGCAGAGCTTCAAAGCAACAGATGATTGTCTGGCTGAACCTTTCCAAAGAGAACACCTGGGTGTACTCCAGCATTATCGACCTCAGCTTCAGCAGCTTGGCAGGTGTTCCAATTTCTCTCTGCAGAGCTTCCAGGTCCTGGGGTTCTTGGGGGATTTGATTGCAGCTTCACCTTCGTAACCTTCAAGGCACCTGGGTGGCCAGCACAAGGCCCAGGGGAGATGCCCTCTGTGTTGCTTTCCACTTGGGCTCCTACCTGACTCTCAGGCTTCAAGGTCTTCAGGCCCACTTGGGCTAATAGGCCTACTCTAACCTGAGGTCTAGAGTAGTTAGCCCTCTGCAGAATTCATGCTGGTGGGGATGGGGAGATCTCGCATACTGTCTGTCAATATTTGCCCAACCCCTGATTTGATTCCCGGCCCACCCATAGGGCTTTATAAACTTAGTCAAGTCCAAGGGTCAGCCCACCCAGCCTGGCTTCAGTCTTTTTGGTCTGTCACTGCCATCCGACAGGAGGGTTGAGAAGGCCAAGTCCAAAGTCAGGTGTTCAGTCATGGGGAACAGGAAACCCAAGCTGGGGGCCTCGTGAAAGGAGGCCTAGCCAAGGGCTTCACTCCCCATGTATGTTTTGTTCTTGCTACCCATCAATCCCCAACAATCTCTATTGTCTATAGCACCCCCCCCCCCATTTCCTCTATGATTCCTTCTTCAACAGATGCAACTTTTGGGGAAATCATTTGCAATGCACCCAAACCTGCTGGTTACACTTTGAGGTCCTTGCTGTACAAGATATGATCTGCAGCTGAGAGATTGTTAGAAACCCTGGATCTCAGACCCATCCAGATCTACCAGAACCTGCATTTTAATAAGCTCCTAGGGATTTTAGGTACACACTACAGTTGGGTGATCTCTGAACTGGTTGTGACTTCACTCTGATAATCAATGTTCGAACTGGAATAGTGTTAAGTGAATTGCTAACACCAGATGAACCAATCATCGATTACTAGTAATTTCTATACAACTTCGATTTCAACATTTATTTTTAATGATGTATATTTGTGTATGTGTCTGTGCAAGTGAGTGCAAGGTGCCCCTGGAGGCCGGAAGAGGAACTTGTATTCCCTGGAGCTGGATTTAGAGGTGGTTGTCCACTGTCTAACATAGGTACTGGGATCCAAACTTGCATCCTCGAGAAGAGCAGTACATGCTCTTAAGTTCTAAGCCAACTCTCTAGCCGCTACACCTACAAGCTTCGATCTTAGGGATGATCTCAGTTTTCTTAACAAAGTGAGAGTTTGGTGGGTCCTGAATCTGAGCAGGAAGGAAGGCAAGGCTCTATGCGAAAGGGTGCTGGTTCAGGCCGGTGTCACCTGTCAGCAGGTACTGGCTGACTGTGCTCTTATTCTCCCTCTTTCCTTTCTTTGTCCCTTGCCCCCATGTGCAGACTGACCTTCCTGTGTTGCTGCTGGGGAGATCATCTGATCTCCGGGCTGGAGAGTTCGTGGTGGCCTTGGGCAGCCCGTTTTCTCTGCAGGACACAGTGACTGCCGGGATCGTCAGCACCACACAGAGAGGTGGCAAAGAGCTGGGGCTGAAGGATTCAGACATAGACTATATCCAGACAGATGCCATCATTAACGTAAGTCGCTGGGAATCTGATCTCAGCCAGGAAGGTATTGCTAGAATAGAGTCAGAAGAAAACTTTAGAGTGATCTTGTTTTTCTTTGGTCTTTTGAACATTCTCAGAAGATATCCCTAAGGGAGGGCTGGAATGTCCTGTTGCTAGAGCCCAATGTTTGATATAACTGGCACCCACCCTTGGGGCTTGTCACAGAGGTCACCTCTGTGATACCGTATGGGGTCGTTTTGCTTTGCTCTGTACCCACACTGACTTTAGGATTGGGAGGGTGACAGGCATGAATTTGGCTGCCTTGGGAAGCAGGTTGCTCTGGCAAAGCTCATTAGGAACTCTATATAAATGATGAGGAGAAATGTATCTGTTTGCTAACTGGTGGCTTTCTCGACTTTTTTTTTTAGCATGGGAATTCCGGCGGCCCACTGGTGAACTTGGTAAGTGGCCGCTTTCCTTCCTGTTTCATATTTCTTCTTAACTTGAAACGCGTTTCAAAATCTGTGATGCGGACTTGGGTACCACTCTCATGGAGGAATTAAGGAATGATGCTTTTTATTCTTGGGTCTTAAGGAAATGGGTAGGGAAAGCTTTAGAGCCTGTGAGGGTTTTATGCTGCTGGTGTGTGCTCTCATCTCACCAAAAGCACCAGGGACCTGGCTTATTTCAGAGTTTTCCTCTTTTACATGCTTTCTGTTGCCATTGGATAGTTACCCAAAAGCCCAGGAGATTAAACTCTGACTTCTGTCAGAAGACCAACTGTGCTATGTATGTATATCCTTGAGATCACAGTTCTTTTACATATGAATGATCCCTCATCTAATAATGCTGATTGGATGGTACAGTCTATCCAGGTTTTTAATCTTCTGCCTGCTCACAGACGGCAGAAAAGTCATATCCAGAATCCATTGTTCTGCTGTGTATTTATTCTTTGATGTATGTTTGTTTTTCATGACAGGGTTTCTCTGTGTAGCCCTGGCTGTCCTGGGACTTGGTCTGGAGACCAGGCTGGCCTCAAACTCATAGAGACCCACTTGCCTCCTGAGTGCTGGGATTAAAGGCATGCACCACCACTGCCTGGTGGTGTGGTTTATTCCTAATTGAATCAGTGCCTCTACTGGTGATGCTGAAGCTTCTCCTTGCTCACCTGCATGAATAAGTATAGTACCCCTAGTCTCAGGCTTCTCCTTGAACTGTTACTTCCTTTTCCTTTTCAAACATCCTCCCCCACCTTAGCTCTGGGATGAAACCCAGGGCCTGGGATGCACATGCTGGGCAAACACTCTGCCACTTAGCTACAGCATTGGCTAACACAGTGATTCCTCCTCGTAGCATTGTGCCCATCTTCCAATTATACAATGTCTTCATAGAGCAGGGATGGAATATAGAATTGTAGGCCATATTCCAGAATTGTTAAGTTTCCATTTGTATTTTAATACGAATACCTTTTCTGCCGTTCTTGTTGCCCAGCAATGGCTAAGAATGGCGAAGGGTGCAGGCAGGAGAGTGTTTTCTGCTTCCCTGTACCAGCTTTAGCTCACCCTGCTTCAGGAAGGGCAACTGGTTTCTGACGAACAGGTCTACTGAAATATTGCTAATTTGTAACAATTCAACATCTTTTGGCTTTTCTTGTTTATTTTTAGACTCCTTTAAGTAATTAAGGGGCAAACGCTTCTTGTGGGTTTTGTTATTGTTATTGTTTTGTTTGTTTTGTTTGAGACAGGGTCTCCTGTAGCCCCATTTGGTCAGGAACTCAATAGGTAGCTGCGGATGACCTTGAACTCTAATCTTTCTGCTTCCACCTCACAGGTGCTAGCATTTGGGAGGTTGATGCTATTTTGGTATCTTGTGTTCTTATTTGTATCAAAATGTAAACTGTAGCTCATCTTTAAAAATGAGTGCCATTTACTAACAGGAGAATGAACTAGGGAATAATACTATTCCACAGTAGCCTTGGCTTTCTGAAGTGACAAAATGTAACCTGTATCTGTGAAGTGCCACTTCCTTCCCCCGGGCATGCTAATTGCCCAGGAAGATGACATATGTTCTCCGCAATGAAGAAGTGGATTCTCCTTCACCCTCTTGTTTTGACCCTGTGAGATTAGTTTTACTTTCCTCTGCTGGTCCTGATGTTGCATGGTTGGGTGTGCAGAGCATCGTGATTTAATGCCGAGTTTCCCCTTCCTTTCCAGGACGGCGATGTGATTGGTATAAACACCCTGAAGGTGACGGCAGGAATCTCCTTTGCAATTCCCTCAGATCGGATCAGACAGTTCCTGGCCGACTATCACGAGCGCCAGTTGAAAGGTGAAAGGAGTTGGGGGGGGATTTAGCCCCTCTGTGGGCACTCCCACTTTTGGAGGCCTGACTTCTTTATGGTGTTGAGGTAGCAGGTCTCAGAGCCGTAACAGGAGTCGGGTAATTATACTGGGGCACTAAGCACAAAGTTAATGTGAGACATCCATGAAAGCGCTGGTATTGTACAGTTTAGAAACGAACCCACTGAGTGGAGCTGCGCCTGCGCTGACCACAGCTGCTCTGTGGAGCTGCGCCTGCGCTGACCACGGCCGCTCTCTGCAGCAGATGATATACAAGGCTAGACGGTCTAACAGGAGACTCTAGGATCTAGGTGTCTCTTAAGCTGTGCCAAATGGAAATAAGCCATGTTGTGCATCATACGTCATGACCTTCCTTTCCAGGAAAGGCTCCTTCACAGAAGAAATACCTGGGTCTTCGAATGCTGCCTCTCACTCTGAAGTAAGTACTGGGTAACTAGGTAACATGTCATCACTTGGCAGTCTTACCAAAAAAACAAAAGCATTTGGACAGCAGTAAGGGGACCCCTGTGATCACAGACTCTGTTGTAGGGCTGTGTCTCCCTCTGCCAGTCCCAGTGTCTTTCATTCTGGCTGGTTACTTACATCATGTCCAGAGATGTAAAGCCTTGGCCTAGGGGAGGGGCCAGCACACAGCAGGGGTGGCTTGTGATTGGCTGGATGGAATTTGCCTGGGTGCCTGCCGGTCTCCAGCTGAAGAGATGGGGAAAGACATAGGCTGTGTGCCTTCTGATCACATCCAAGTCTTTTCCTAGGCCCAAGGGGCTCGTTGTGTTTGCTAACCATTGTACTGTTCCCAGCCTCCTACAAGAAATGAAGAGGCAAGATCCGGATTTCCCTGATGTGAGTTCTGGAGTTTTTGTCTATGAAGTGATTCAAGGAACGGCAGCTGCAAGGTAAGTGACGAGGCCTTTGCCCAGCCTCCTGTGTTGTTTCTAGGCAGGCACCAGGCTGAGCTTGAAGCACCAGCATCCTGGTCACGGCCTATATACACTGTACACTGAGCTCCTGAGAGCTGCCCAGTGTGACTCGGCAACACAATTTAAAATTGTGTTTTTAGTTGATATCAAGGAAAAAAATAAAACATCAGAAACAAGGCAAACCATTTTCTTATTTTCTTTTTCGTTTTCAGAAGAACTGTAATTTGTGTTATTTATGTCATTGGATGAGCTATCAGAGCATGGGGGAAGACTGGGTGTGTACTATTTTATGTAGATGGCAAAGGCATATAGAAAAGTGCAAAATATTTGTCAAAACTTCACAATTTTTATTTTGTGTTAGAATGACAAAATTTTAGATTTATGGCATTAAATAAGATGTGCTATTAAAGGTAACTTTATCTGACTTTTTTTTAAAAAGGTGACTACTCTAAAATCTAAAGCACGGCTTGCATTACATTTATGTTGGGCAGTGCTGATAGGGGTCACAGTCTAGGTTAAAATTAATTTTTAAAGAAATTACCAAATTTGCCCAGTGGTGGTGGTGGCACAAGCCTTTAATCCCGGCACCTGGGAGGAAGAGGCAGGTGGATCTCCGTGAGTTTGAGGCCAGCCTGTTCTACAGAGTGACTTCCAGGATAGGCTCTAAAAAAGCTATAGAGAAACCCTGTCTCAAAAAAAAAAAAAACCTACAAAACAAACAAACAAACAAAAAACAAAGAAACCCCAAAAAACCAAAAAACAAAAAAGCCCCACAAAACCCAAAGCAACAACAAAAAGCAATTACCAAATTAAACCCCTCTCCTTTTTTCCAGCTAAGCTGTATACTACCTCCTAAACATATTCTTTCAATGTTACAGGTTATTCCTGAATAACTAAGTTTTATGTTAAGTTATTAATGACTTTTATATTAATTTTAGAATGCGGTGTTTGTTTTCATGTGTATGTGCACATGTGCGTGTGTGGAAGGCAGAGGTAGATGCCGAGTGTTTTCTTCAGCCACTCCATCTGATGCTTTGAAGCAGGGTTTCTTTCTGAACCTGGAACTCACCAGTCTGGCTATGCTGGTTGTCCCCAGAGCTCTAGGGATCCGCTTGTCTTTGCCTCCGCAGTGTTGGGATCTCAGGCGTGTGCCACTGTGTCCAGCATTTTTTAAAAATAGGTGTGTGGGGGATCCAAACCTTCCTCATGCTGTGTGGCAAGTCCTTTACTCTGAGTCTTTCTGAGCTCTTTACTTAGTGAATTTTTGAGACATGGCCTCACTGTGCAGCCTAGGTTAGCCTGAAATTTGTAATCCTCTTGCTTCTGCCTCCTGAATGCTAGGATTCCTGAATGCCAGGATTATAGGCATGGGCTATGATGTCCCAGTTATTCAGTTATTAATAACCAAAAACTAAGGATAAACAAATGATTTCAACAGTTCAGTAATTATTAGTTAATGAGAACGGGAAGGATTAACCAGCTAAGCAGGGCTCACAGGGACTCAAGAGACTGAAGGGACAATCACGGACCCTGCAGGGGTCTAAGCTGGGTCCTCTGCATCTCAGTGATGGTTCTGTAGCTGTGTGTTCTCGTGGGATTGCTGACAGTGGAGGTGGGGGGTGAAAAGGGAAGAAATAAAGAATGGGAAGGATTCAGGGTTCTCTGAGGACCGAATGGCTGACAAATGGCTGGGCTGACACCTGTGCTGCTAGATCAAACAGCCCTGCGGAAGGTTTGGCAACTGTTTCCAGCTTTGCTTTAGAATATTTAGTATCAGGGAGAGGCAGCTTCTTAGGCAAATGTTGCTCTCCTGGGCCCTGCCCTTCCTTTAGTACCGCTCACTGTTTGCTTTTCAAGGGCTCAGCAGTCTGTTTAGACGTTGGCAACACTGTTAGACCTGGAAGAACTCAAGGTACCAGCAGTTTGGCATGGCCAAGTGTCAGGTCTCACACTACTAGATTTGGCACTTCCTAAGCTTTTCTAGACTCTCCGGGTCCCCACCCTGCTGTGCCCTTGCCCTTATTTTAACTTCTGATCCAAGGCCAGAGAACTACTCTCAGCTCTTGAAGTTGTTCTCAAAGTGTGGTGTGCCAACAGTGGCGGCATCAGCCGTAGCCAGACAGAAAGGCAGGCCTGAGCCCCCATCCCTGAATCAGACTCCCCCTCCCACTGCCATCCCATCGCCATGCTAGTCTTGAGCTCTGAATTCTCTTGTCCTGACTTCCCAGGTGTTGGGGTTAGCTGTACACACTGTGTAAGATGAACCTTCTCTCTCCCTCTTCCTTCCTCTCTCCCAAATTCTCCTGCACTCTATTAAACTCTATGATTTCTTGCTTCCTGGAGTTCATGCCCAGAGCCTTGTGTGTGCTAAACACCTGCTCTACCACTAGCCTACCTCCCCTGGAGAGTATTCATTTTAAGCAGGATTCCCAGGTGGGTAGTTACACGCATGTTGAAGTGAGAATCGCTGCTGTCAGTCTCTCGACAGCCCAACATCCATCCTTGCTGGCTTTCAACTGCCTATATTTAATAACTACTAATAATTACAAACAGCAGCTGGCGCTTAGGAGGCATTTATTACATCTGAGGAACCAAAGTGTTCTTACACAGTTGTTGGAGTCTTATGACATAGTCCTTGTTTTTAAGAGGAAGCAGCTGTGTTGAGTTACACAGAGGCCGGAGAGGAGGTGTGCACCCTGGCTTCATTCCTCTACAGCCCTGACTTTGTAGTTACTCTCCTTTCCAAGAGGCCGAGTTGACTTAGTGGCCAGAAGATGGATTTTCAAGTCTGAAAGACACGGGAGCAAATCTCGCTTTAATCTCTTGGAGGCTGAGACACGGGAAGAGGCCACTTATCCTTTGTGGGCTAAGTTCCTCATGTTCAGAGGACAGTAGGTCATGCCACAGCACTGCTTCCTCCTTGTCCCGCAGCTGCTGTCCTTGTTCCTACGGATTCCTTGCCTGGAGCTTTGCCCTTCCTTCTCTTCATACCCCAGTGCCCCCCTGCACCCTGCCCCCTTGATGCGGGCCAATGAACTAGGAGCCAAGTACATGCTAAACATAGCCTGTACCCTGAGCTATACCCTGAGCTCCTTATAGCTTTCAAACTCCATATATCTTGGTAATCTGCTCACAATGTCATTTTCCTCTTTTTGGTTTTTGGAGACAGGGTTTCTCTGCAGCTTTCGAGCCTGTTCTGGAACTCGCTCTTGTAGACCAGGCTGGCCTCGAACTCAGAGATCCGCCTGCCTCTGCCTCCCAAATGCTGGGATTAAAAGCGTGTGCCTAGCGTCATTTTTTCTTGAGTTTTGTGTTTTTATTTTTTTTTAAACAGCATCTTTTGGAGTCATTTAATTTGTTGTCTTTTTCTCCCCCCATTCTTACCCTTACACACCCAACTAGCCTGTCCACGTTTTTTGCACTTTGCTTTTGGAACTGGAGTCTGTATCCAGAATATATATTTCATGTGGGGTCAATGTGTTGACTGAATAGAACGACAGCTCCGAGTCAGAGCTGTAAACATCTGGACTTGGAAGCGTGAGTGGCGACTGGTGTACTGGACACAGAACATCTGGGACACACAGCAGCTCAAGCTCCAGTTCCAGAACCCATGGGATGGGCTGTCCAGTCAGGCTCATCAGAGCACAGCTTCCCGGGGAAAAACGCTGGGCTTGGCAGTCTTGCTAGTGGATTCGGTAATGTTTGCAGTGAACACAGGGCAGAGGTGAAGAGAAATCAGAAGCTGAACTGTCCATTCCAAGGGAGATCCAAGGGAAACGAGGACTCGGCTTCTCCCAGAATTCTCACAGGGTGTTAATATAGGAAACACAGGGGCTCGTCGTCCTCCAGCTGCCCTCACAGCTGGAGGGCTTCAGGCTAAGTCCTACCTTCTTGGTTTATGTCTAAAGATCAGTAAAACAGTGGGGCAGTGTGTGTGTGTGTGTGTGTGTGTGTGTGTGCGTAGGGGAAGGAATCAGACAGACAGACAGACTGACAGACTATACCCCCCAAATGGGAATGAGTAGAACTCTTCTGCTTTTATCAATCTCTATTTTTGTTTTTCAAGACAGGGTTTCTCTGTGTAGCCCTGGCTGTCCTGGAACTCGCTCTGTAGACCGGGCTGACCTCACACTCAGAGATCCGCCTGCCTCTGAGTCCTGAGGGCTGGGATTAAGGGCGTGCACTACAACCAACCAGTGGTTTCATCATCTTTCCTTTTCCTTTCTCAGCTCGGGGTTGAGAGACCATGACGTAATTGTCAGCATAAATGGGCAACCTGTCACCACCACAACTGATGTCATCGAAGCTGTTAAAGACAATGACTTTCTCTCCATCACTGTGCGCCGAGGAAGTCAGACCTTGTTTTTGACAGTCACACCTGAAATAATCAATTAAGTATCTTACTCTGAAAAACAAGCTAGCAAAATCAGTTATAGTACATGGTTAGTATTGAAGAAGTGATAAAGGTGGCAGGGGCTTTGGGATGTCAAGAAAAATGGATGGTTTGAATGCATGAATGTACGTTTGTACACACACACACACACACACACACACACACACACACACACGGATCTTGAGGTTGAGGGTGTTCCTCTGTTGCAAAAATCTTCTAAGCCAAGTGGAAGCAGCATGGTGGTCTGGTAAAATTGAAAGACAGAAAACAACTGGAAAACAGGCAATTCCCAACTGAATCGTGACAGGAGACTTTGGTAACCTCCTATATAGCCACAGCCTGCTATGTCACACATACGTACAAACAAACTACCTACCAAATAGTAAGAGTCTGAATCTGGAGTAAAAAGGCAATCACGTTTTAAATAATCCTCCTTTGTATACTCAGTTTCCCAAGTTGTATCACATGCTTGGCCAGGGATTGTGGGTAGAAAAGTCATCAATTACAAGACAGACTGAGACTGATGACATCAGGTTATAGCACAGGAATATTAGTCTCAAGATGACCACTTTAGCAGTAGAAACAATTTTGGTCCTCCAGTGTTTCGAGACCACTTCTTCCATTAAAATAGTTGTTCTGAATCATTTGTAGACTTATATGTAGGGCCAACTCAGGGCTTAAATAGTTTATTCTGGGCAAACTAGTTTTAGTTACTGTCTTCCAGACTTAGGAGGGTGCAGGGTCAAACCCAGGGACCAGTGCATATTAGGTGAGCACTCACCATCGAGCCTTCCAGAATTAAAAAAAAAAAATCTATATCTATATATCTATATCACAACCCTGGATCTCCTTAAAGTCTATATGAAGCTTGATTTGTGTATTTTTAAGATCTAGTTTCTTCACAGTTAACCTAAGAATACAACCGTAGTGTGTAGGGACTATGAATTGACTCTTTCAATTGCTATCGTAAGCAGGGTTAAGGTCAGTGTGATGCTTCCAAAGTTTTTACAGTTGCCATCTTTAATAACGTGAGAACAGTGATATTAATCAAGGATGCTGAATTCTACAAAATGATGCTGTTTTCAGGATTAATTTTGAACTCTGCTGGTCTTTATGTCAGTTATTATGGGAATGAATGTGGAGTAGCTCTGTTCTTTCGAGAACCCATGGCTAGCTGAGGAGCAGGCTCTTGGTCTGACCTGCCAGTTACATTAAATTTAACGTCTCTTTTCAACTTAGATTTTGAAAGCTGCCTATCATTCAGAACGCTTTTCTTCCCAGTGACTCAGGACTGCAGAAACTTGGCTGGCTCCAACACTGTGGCACCCTGAAAACTTTTACTGTCATGCTTGTGTGGACACGAGCGTTTCCTCCTCTCTCTCCTCCGACATCCGGACTTGACCCCAGCAGTCAGTATCCTCTAAGCAGGCATACACTTTTCTTTCTAAGGGCATGCATTAGAGTTACTTGTATAGAATCCTTTTCTTTTTAAAGACACGGTCTCACTATGTCAACCAGGCTGTCCTCTAACTCGCAGGTCTGCCTGCCTCTATCTCCCAAGTGCCACAAATGAAACATACTCCAGCCTACACAGCCCTTTTAAATCACTTTAAATATATGGGGCCCATATTTTAAAAGCTGATTAAAATGGGAAAATAGTAATTTTAGGTAGGACAACTCTGTTAATTCATACATGTTTGCCATTGTTGGATTTCAGAACATAATTGGAATGAAGAAATTACTGTCTCTAGAACACTCCAGAAGCCCAGAGTCAGGGCAGTGGCACTTGCACTGTGATGACCACAGGCCGAGCGACGACTAGAACAGGCAGGCTGCAGGAAGACCCTGCACACTCAGACCACAGCTTTCATTTCAAATGTTCACCCTTCAGCAAAAGGCAGGTTTTGAGCTTTATTCTTCATTGGAAACACACAGCAGATGAGGTTTTATTACTTTATTCTGTAATTTAAATTCACAGAGTCAGAATTTTGGGGTGTATTAAATCCACAGTCTTTTCTATGTCATCTGGAGATTTCTCATTGGCACAGTTTCTGACCTGTGGTTAGAAATTCAGGGTCACGAAAGGCTGTGCATGGATAAACATGCACTTCGTTTATCCTGTTGGGTCCCCCTGCTCCACACGACTCATGATCCAGCCACACAGACATGGAGCACTTAAGACGATCTGAGGGGAGAAGTCATTAGTTTGCTAGTTTGTACATGAAGAAAGGTACGACTGGACTCCCATGACACTGTTGGCCATTTCTGGTCTGCAAGGTAAGGTTTGGATTGAAAAATTCAGTCCAAACTTCTAAAGAGGACAGTGTTGCCCTGAGAAGGATTTGGAGTTTGCAATAACTGGGCAGGCAGCCAAGCACTTTTATCCTTGCTAGCACAGGACGGCAGCAGCTTTAATATACAGTACACCAGTTGCTGCCATCACTGGGCATCAGCCCTCCAGTGATAAGCAAAATCAGGTCGACAAACCACCAGATCCCGAGTCCTCCCAGGGTCAGCAGCTTCCCGACAGCTGTTCCAGTGTGCCCCAAACAGAAGCGGTCGACGCCGAAACATCCCAGGAAGAAGGAGTAGAGCAGCGTGGTTATAAAGTAGTGTCCGGTGTACCTGCATGGAGGGAGGAGATGTCTGCCTTGTGACAACCGACGGGACCATAAGAAAGTGCAGCAGCTGTTGGCTGTGCTGCAGGGGCCTCTCACTCTGTTTCGGTTCTCTCTTGATACATTCACTCAGGTGTGGCTACTTGGGGGGGGCACAAAAAAGCCTCAGGGGGATAAAGCCAAACAGCTTATTACATTCATGGGTCCTAGAGAGGGGCAGGGCTACCACCCTACTGGGCCACATGGGAAGGGGAACATGGTAGCAGGATAGGAGGAAGGGGTAGGTCCAGGTTGCAATCTTTGCTGGGGGTGTTACAGGAAAGCCAAGGCAGGACAGATCAGCAATTTAGGATTGGCTACTTGAATAACCAGCAGCTTTAAGCTACATTCAGTGTGGGCTCTAGTGGCTTGATACATGACCTGGGATGATTAAGGAAAAGGAGTAGTCTCCTGGGTAGACAACCACTAGATGGCTCAGGGCATGAGTTGGCATATTTAGGACATGCTGACTAGGTCCTTTGCTAACACTGAATGTTCTAGTCTTGGAATGGGTAGTCTCTCTAGAGACATAAAAAAAAGTTAACTATAGTATAACAGACTCTTGTGAGTGCTTCCCTATCTCTAGTTGCTCTTGCTAAGATAGGAAGGGACTTTAAGAACAGAAAGGGGCCTGGGGAGATGGCTCAGTGGTTAAGAACACTTTTGCTGCTCTCTCGAAGAGGAGCCAGGTTTGGTTTCCATCAGTGACATCAGGTGGCTCATAAGCACCTGGACCAGATGCCCTCTGTTGGTCTTTGCAGGCCCTGCAGTCAACAAGTACAAACCTAGCCACCACCCCCATGAACACACACACACACACACACACACACACACACACACACACACACACACAGACAGAGTTGGACTAGCCTAGTGCATCACAGACTGTGGTAGCTGAGGGTCTGGGGGCCTGTGGCTCCGCTGGCTTCCTGAATTCTTTTCCAGAGGAAATATTCTTAAGCTTTTATCTGCTGACCAATCTTTACGCTTCAGTGAGAACACTGGGTTGCAGGTGCTAATGTCACTACACATCACTAAGCATGAGCTAACAGTCTAAGCAGGGTCTGTATCTCTTGGGAGAATTTATACCACATTTCTTTAGGATCAGGTGATTTCAGCTGAGGAACCCCCGAATTTCTTTGCAAAACCTTGTTCCAGAATTCCTAAAGCAGATTTCGTGGGCTGGTTGCCGGTTTGGAGTTCTGAAGCTACACTGTCTGGCCCAGGGCCTGCAAAGCTGGGATGAGGGGCAGACGGAAAGACTCAGAACCCACAACTTCTGCTCCTAGGTGTTGCAATCACACTGCCTCAATCAGCGGGGCCTGCACACAGGCATTCTTTAAAACTTCAAAGAAAAAGTCCCATCAGCTGGCACCTCCATTACCCCCTTTCAAAGTAATAGCTGTGGCTAGGGGTGTAGCTCATTAGCAGAACACTTGCTTAGAAGGTGTACTGGGTTCAAATCCCAGCACCACACACGCAGTACAACAATGAAAGTAAAACTTACTTTATACAAGGCTTATTCTCTCGTAGAAAGGTCCGGGGGCTGGCACACTCAATTCCATCCAGGGCTCTGCACTGGACTGCTGTGTGTTCCACATCACTGTAGGCCTGACCCCCAAACTGTGGAGAAAGGAACACAAACACACGTGCATCTTCACTAGTAAAGGCTGCTTTAGAACTGTTAATAATTCTAGTAGGACTCAGCAAAACTCTCAAAAGCACGAAATGCGGCGAGGACCTCAAGTGACTTAGCCCAGTCTAACTGTATACTGCTTTAAATAAACCTTGCTCTTCCATGACTGGCTTCTTCAGAATAAAAACAAACAAGAAACCTTAACTGCAGAGGTACACAATGGTTTGGTTTTCTTGTATATACAGGAACACAGTGAAGCATTTTTAGAATAGGAATTGACATGTCAATGCATACCAAGACATCTGCTGTAGATTTACTGTAAATGAACAGAATTAGAAATAATATAGACTGTCACCTGAGGACTTCACTTGGGCTGCTCATGGCTATAGGTTTCTGAGTCTACCCCTACCAGTATAAGTTTAAGTCCAAGCTCATGCGGTCAGAACCCGGGTATTACCCCTTTGCTCAATTCAGCTCCGATGGAGAGAGCAGAGTTACGCAGTCTTACCCGTGCCCTATTATTGCATTCCCACCCTTTCCCTGTGTTCTCAAAGTGAGACTGGAGACAAGGATGCTCACTTCTCAGCCTCCCGAGTCCTGCCTGTCCTTAAGGGCTGGGGGAGAGTTTCAATCTTGTGACAGGATACATTCAGCTTTTAATTAAAATAATCAAAATTAAGTTATCTCTATGCAATGTTAGTCAGGCTTTTACCAATTACCAATAAAATGAAATTTCAATGTCTTTAAAATATTTCTCTACATACAGTTCAATTAAGAACTGTCCCCTTGGTTGTGGTATTAGAGTGTTTTATTTCTTTGGGTCTGAGGCAGTAAAACAATGCCTTCCTCATAATCCAACACCAGGTTGAACCCTGCATTATAGCAGTGTTGAGTCGGTAGTGCAGGGTACATGAACCTCTTAGGTGTGGGCTGAGCACGGTGATGCATACCTGTATCCTAGCACCAGGAGGCTCAAGCGGTGGGATCACGAATTTAGGGCTATCTTGGGCTGCAGAGTGAGACCATCTCTCCAGAACAAAACAAAACAAAACAAGACAGACAAACCAAAACCACAACAAAACTAAAACCAAACCAAACCAAAATTCAGTGGGTTTTGAGAGACCAAGTAGGTACACCCACTTTAAGGATACTAATGTCTTTTTTGTGGACAAGTTAAACAGAACCGCTATATATGGGCTGTCCATGCATGCTTCAGCATGGCCAGGGCATAAATTTCGTACATTCATTTTTCACTGTCTTCTCTCCAGGCTGAGAGGCCACTGCTACCAAAGCTACCAAAGGCTTCTCTGGAATGGCTTTATTCTCAAACAAAAACATCACTGTCAGACCCCAGCCACATCACCTGCTACATCACCTGCATGAGCAACTTGTTCCAAGTGTGTGTGTAACCAAGAAAACCCAGTTCAGCAACACCGTTCCAAGGTCCACATTCCCTTTCCCTCGTTCTTTTAAGAGAAGGCATGCTTTGAAAGAACAGATGACATTTTAGCTTTAACTTGTTAATATCAATGGCGAAAGGCACCAACACAGGTTGGATTTTGCATTTGGGTGTCTTGGGCACAGTCATTGCTAGTTCCCGACAAAAGCAAATGTGCTATTCAGCCACTAAACCTTGGTCCCGCTGGACATCTCCAGCAATAGTTATACGGATGGAGTTCTTAAAAAAAAAAGTCTCTTTATATGCCCTATGGTCTTCTGTAACAGCATTCAGCCATGCTTCCCACGAAGAGCGAACGTACAACAAAAACCTCACCTTGAGACAACCATAACCAAGCTCTTGGGACGCAGTTGCATTTCCAACGTGATCCACTGGGGCATCACAATCTACAAACTCGTCGGGTCTGCAAATCATCAAGACCATCGTCAGCCCCCTTTACCAACTGCTATGCGAACGCACATAATCCCAGTTATTTTCCTTCCTTCTACACTGCCCCCTTCCTGCACTGGGACTTATACACGCTAGAGATGCTATCTACCATTGCGCTACATCTCCAGCCCTTTAAATTTCTTTTTTAAATTTTGAGACAAATTATCCAGGCTTGCAGGCTGGCTGGCCTTGAACTCATCTAGTAACCAAGGCAGGAGAAAGGGCGCAGGAAGTGGAAGGGTTCTACAGCCTACACCACTCTTTCCCAGGCTTTTCGTGGCAGGGGAGTCGAAAGTCAGGCTATCCCGGAATCACCTCCCGCAGGTGGAAGCAGCCCTCCCACCCAGCCGGGCCCGATCCCCGCTAGGACTGCCCCCAAGACCCCGTAAGCTTACAGGTAAGAGCAAAGGATGACCGGAGACTGGGGGTCGCTGTATTCCCAGCTTGGGGCTGCGGGACCCTCTGGGTGAGCGGAGCCTGAGGGTGTCAGATCCACTTCGGCCGTGGCATTAAACGAATGGCTCCGAGAGACACAGTGCAGCAGCAGCAGGTTCCCCAGCAGCAAGGCCGCCTGGCCGCAAAGCAGTAGGTAACTCACAGGGCAACCCCCCAGCACCATCTTCCCGGGCCGGTCCCAGAGACCTGGCCTAAAAACAAAGCCAGGCCGCTACGACCGACCCAAGACCCGGGCTGTCAGGCCTCTGCGTCGGCGCGCAGTTCGCCGACACACAGCCAACCGGTGCGCAGCTCGAAGTCCCGCCCCGCCGCTACGGCCAATCAGAGGACTCCAGAGGAGAGGGAAGGCGTGAAACTTCGCCCCGCCTTCCAGCCGACGCTGCGCTCTTCGCTGCGCGGGGGGCGGGGCTCCTCCTAACCCCGCCCTCTAGTCGATCCTCGGCTCTTTGCTGCACGGAGGGGCGGGGCTCCTCCTAACTCCGCCCTCCAGCCGCCCCTACGCTCTCCCGGACCGGCTGCGCGGGCGGAGGGGCGGGACAGACAGGCACGGTCGGGAGCCGCCGGCGTGGAGCAGGCCACCCGCTCACCGCAGACTGTATTTTCCTTACGTCCGGAGCGAGCGTGGTTGAG